TCTGCCCCCCATAGCTCCTGTCCCAATGGCACCTCAGCCCCTATAGAGTGGTCAGCCCTGCTGCAGGACGGCTGCAGGTGCTCAGACTGCATAGGGCACCAGGATTCATAAGGATGGCCTTGATTACTGTGCTATAAAAATACATCAAGTGAGGGCTCTTATGAAAGCCCGTAAAGTTCTACGCTTAATGATCATTATGGAGATATACACATGCAGGCTATGGCTATGAACACATGTATTTGTGTATATTACATACAGCACTGTGCTCATAAACTTCAGTGCCACATCACAGCAGAACACAGAGCGGTGGACAGGGAGAGACTCTCCCAAGTTAAGTGTTTACTCTGCCCAGACTTAAGTACCAATGTATTGTACAGCCCAGAAAAGGAAACGATGGGTCATTAAAGAGAATGGAAAGAAACAGAGAGCTGGGGATTTCCCCAGTTGGAATATCAATGACTAGAAAAAATTGCAAAGAAGACCCTTTTGCAAAAGAAGGGGTTTGAAGTGAAATTCATCCAGAAATAGAGGGACAGCACAGTTGGAAAGCTGTCCATAAAGGGTAGGGTGGGTTTGGCTGGGAAACGGGCCCAAAGCAATTAGTAACTTGCATTAGAAAGGGGGTTTTGTTTGATATGGAAGTCTAAAGTGTGAGGTTGCATCTTTGTTTTCAGTGCAACTTGTACATATTTTCTCTCCCTCACAATTTCATCTTGGAATCTGTGTTTTTTTCTATTAAATAAGCAATTATTTATTTTTACCCCAAGCAGGTCTCTATTATGCAAGGTAGACTGATAATTGGGGGATCTGTTTTCACACCTTCGGGGCAGATGAACCAGAGAGCAATGGTCTGAGTTTCTGGTTCTTAAGAACTTAGGGACAATGGATTGGCAGAGACTCAGGATTGGAAGGGCTACTGGTGTCATTCTGCAAGGAGTAACTGGTGGGTGGAAGCTAGGCTGAGATCTTGTGCTTATAGGCACATTGCTGGTGTAAGGGACTGAGCCACTCTGGCACAGCCATAAAAGCTCCAAAATTACAGGCCTGAAGGCAGCAGAATTCCTTACCAGTCTTGGTGGGTCCTAAAACATCACAGAATTACACCATCTGGCTCTTGTGCTGATGTACCCTGAGTAACCACCTGTGAAGAGTTTGGTTTAAGTGACTTCCTCGGAATCACACAGAGGCAGGGATAGACTCCAGATCTCCAGGGCAGCATCCAGCTGTCATCGTTAGGCCATCCTTTTCCTCCCTGCCTTGTTCACCACACACCTTCCAGCTTCAGAAACAAATGAGTTAGAGGTCTGACAGAAAACTGCCTTTTTCACTACACAACTTGATCCATCCTCAGTGCAGGGCTATCCTGGGTTCTGAATGAGGCAGTGGTCCTGTGGAAAAAGGCTACACAGGCAACCTTAACTCTGCACCACAACCATAATCATCATCTTTTAGCGTAGCTTGTGCTTGCTCAGTGTCTTGTTTTTTCAAAGAAGCAAACTGGAAAAAAAATTAATTGTAGCCTGTGACATCACAGTGGCACCTGCCAGGGTCTTCAGCAGAGCTGGAACCTTCAGAGTCATTGCATAGCACTCTGCCTCTTGAGTTAACAGAGTGGCAGATATTAGGTTGTCATCTCTATGGACCAGAACTAGAGCAGGGTGAGAGAGATATTGTAAGTGGCTTTTTAGACACTTGCAGAGGAATGGTCAGATTCATTAATCTTAGGTTCCATTCTGGGGTTTTCAGGGGAGTGTGAATGAGCACAGACTTTTCTGCTCTTCCTCCTACCCCCAAGTTTGACTACTACTGTCTTGTTCCCTCCAATCTGTCCCGGTCCTAACTCTGTCACTCTGGCTCATTGTCCAAATCCTACTTTTCTTCCCTTCCCAGTCCTAGTCTTCACTACTCTGGCTTCTTATCCCAATCCTAGTCTCATTGCCCAACCAGGTCCCTACCCCAACTACCAGTCATGGTTTCTCTCTTTCTCCCTGTCCTAGACTCATGAGACTTCTTGCCCATATCTACTCCTTTCCCTCCCTCCAGTACGGGTATTGTCCCCTCTGCTTTTCAGTCAGGGACCACCCTCCTCCCCACTGCATGGAGACCAGCAAGGGAGTTGGGTTATTGAGAACACTGTTCACAGTTCCCCTCTCTGACACTCTGGCTCATTGTCCAAATCCTTCTTTTCTTCCCTTCCCAGTCCTAGTCTTCACTACTCTGGCTTCTTATCCCAATCCTAGTCTCATTGCCCAACCAGGTCTCTACCCCAACTACCAGTCATGGTTTCTCTCTTTCTCCCTGTCCTAGACTCATGAGACTTCTTGCCCATATCTACTCCTTTCCCTCCCTCCAGTACAGGTATTGTCCCCTCTGCTTTTCAGTCAGGGACCACCCTCCTCCCCACTGCATGGAGACCAGCAAGGGAGATGGGTTATTGAGAACACTGTTCACAGTTCCCCTGCCCATCCCTACACAAGCCTGGAGCAGTTATTACAGGGAAAGTCCGTGTGAGCCCCTATGACCTGGGACTGGGGCATTCTCAGTTACACTATGGGATGACATATGTGCAGATTAATCATATGCAAGAGATGAAGCATGTTCAGTGAGGACAGATTTTAGCTGCAAAACTCTAACAAGTCTTTACTGAGCATGTGCAAACTGCCCCCATTCCAAAGGCTTGGTCGAATTCAGGCAGCTTTTCATGTGGACAATAAAGGCATATCCCTGATCCTCAGAAAGCCCCTATGCCAAATGTCAAATTCCTGCTCCAAAGGATAGGGACAGTAGACCAGTTTCAAACAGCTCAAGATTATTTTAATACTAGGCAATTCGGCCGTCATAAAATGGGATTTTCAGGTCTCTCCTCCACATTGGTCTTCTCTCCTGAGCCTCCGGTCTCTCGCTCCATCTCTCTCTCTTCTTTCTTCTGCCTCCCCCTCTTTCTCTCTCAGCTCTCCTCCGCCTCCTGCCTCTCTCTGTCTCTGTCTTTCTCTTCTCCTCCCACTCCTGCCTCCCACTCGGGGAACCGCAGAGGGAACAGCCCCCATTTCAGAAACAGCGCCGCCCAGAGGGAACAGCCAGCATTTCAGCAACAGCGCCGCCCAGAGGGAACAGCCCCCATTTCAGAAACAGCGCCGCCCAGAGGGAACAGCCAGCATTTCAGCAACAGCGCCGCCCAGAGGGAACAGCCCCCATTTCAGAAACAGCGCCGCCCAGAGGGAACAGCCAGCATTTCAGCAACAGCGCCGCCCAGAGGGAACAGCCCCCATTTCAGAAACAGCGCCGCCCAGAGGGAACAGCCAGCATTTCAGCAACAGCGCCGCCCAGAGGGAACAGCCCCCATTTCAGAAACAGCGCCGCCCAGAGGGAACAGCCAGCATTTCAGCAACAGCGCCGCCCAGAGGGAACAGCCCCCATTTCAGAAACAGCGCCGCCCAGAGGGAACAGCCAGCATTTCAGCAACAGCGCCGCCCAGAGGGAACAGCCCCCATTTCAGAAACAGCGCCGCCCAGAGGGAACAGCCAGCATTTCAGCAACAGCGCCGCCCAGAGGGAACAGCCCCCATTTCAGAAACAGCGCCGCCCAGAGGGAACAGCCAGCATTTCAGCAACAGCGCCGCCCAGAGGGAACAGCCCCCATTTCAGAAACAGCGCCGCCCAGAGGGAACAGCCAGCATTTCAGGCAACAGCACGCCCCCAGAGGGAACAGCCAGCATTTCGGCGTTACAGACACGCAGACACTGGGCTACTATATATATGATGTCACAACAACATGTGTCCACCTTACCCTCAGAAATCTGACAAAGTGGTTTTTAACCCAAGCTAGTTTATGCTCCAATAAATCTGTTAGTCTTTTAGGTATCATAGATCTCCTCGCTGTTTTTGCAGATACATACTAACACAGCTACCTCTCTGAGACTTGAAAACATGATATTATAATAGGCCATTTTAGACATGCTCATTAATAGGCAACTCTACCAATCCAGCCTATAATTAATCCTGAAGCGTAAAATATCTCAGAACTGGCCATTTTTGTAAGGGCTTTCGTGAGTTCTTTGAGGTGAGCTGTGGGAGGTAGGGATGTAAGTGACTAATCGACACACTAGTTGACTAGTAGTTCCTCCTCCTCTTGCTGCCTCTATCAGAAAGAGGCAGCAAGGTGGGGGGAGGAAGCGTTGCTGGGGGGAGCCGGCTTAAAAGCCAGTTCCCCCCAACTCTAGCTCTGTGGGAGGAGGAGGGGCGCAGCGGCAATGTCTGAGAGGTACAAGAGTCCCTGCTGGGGCTCTTGTACATTTCAAAGTGAAAGCACCTGCATGCAGCCTGGGGCCAGCACCAGACGCCATTACAAAAATGTCTAGTTATGAGATATTTTACACTTTAGGATTAATTATAGGCTGCATTGTTAGGGTTGCCTACCAAGCTGGCTCCCCACAGCAACCGCTCCTCTCTTCCCACCTTGCTGGGACTCTTGTACATTTTAAAGGCAGAATGCTGCGTGGCACTTCCGCCTTTGAAATGTAGCAAGCCCAGTGGGCTCTTGCTACTTTTCAAAGCAGAAGCACCCTTATCGACTACTCAAATAGTCAATAGAAATTCCATCGACTATTCGATTAGTTGATTAATCTAATTTTATCATCCCTAGTGGGAGGCAAATGGTAGAATGTGTAATGGTTGTGGGGAGGGCTATGGCAAATGGGAGAATGTGTAATGGTTGTGGGGAGGGCTATGTAATGTTTGATAAGCGTTCAGGAGAGAAGGCACAGCACATTTCTGAACTGCACGAACACTTAGGGCAGTTTGTGCAAACTTCTGGAAAGAGCGAGCTCATGCTAAACATGCTCAGTGTCAATACGAGCCCATCCCCATGCTTGCCTGACATCATCCAACTGGCACAAATCGTTCTTATATTAGTAATGTATACCTGTTCTTGCAACGCTAGCAATGCTGGCACCTATTTTGATTCTGCTGGCACTAATATGGCTCCTTTTCTGTTCCTTGCAGAATCAAGCTTTTGGCCTCTTTCCTCTGAATTAATGAGTATCTGGTCTGTCTCTAGCATATCAAGTATTAACAATAATCAAAAATGTCCCTCAGATTGTGCATTCTGCATTTTCTGGGTGACTGACTTAAGGTCCTGAGGTCTGACTGGCAGAAGTGCTGAGGACTCATAGCTACAGTGGAAGTCAATGAAAGGTGAGCTCTAAACGTATTAGGTGCTATGTATGCTAAGTCCTCTTGGAAAAAAATTAGGTTTTAGGGGACTCAAACTGGGCAGTTAAATGTAGCGGGATGTTTTTTCTCTTAAGCTCTCTGTGCCTCAGTTCTCCATCTGTACCATGAAGTAACAATCGCCCCTGCTGGCACGGGAGTGTTGTGAAAATGAATTAATTAATGTTAGAGAAGCACTCAGAGTACCCTGATGAGCATCACAGAAAAGCCTGTGAGGAAATCAATAACTCTGTCTTCCAACCAGGAGTCAAATATCATGCAGTAAATAGGGCATGAGGCCACACATTGACCAGTGAAGAGAAAACAAAATATTGAACACTGTCCATTCTGTGCACTGAATGAGGTAGGGATCCTGTGGAAAAAATAGTAGGTGATCATGTAATTAAAGACTATCATAATGCTTACACACATGGAGGCCAAAATAAAGTTGCACACGCAACCTCAGTTGTGGCTTTTCATAAATTTTGAGTGCTTAACTTCATAATCTTAATAATCTCGCTATACATCAAAAAAAGTTTTTTCCTGCGGGAACTGAGTGACATCATCATGTCACTCTGTATCCCATCTGCCTCCTCCCTCTCTCCTCCCTTTCCCAGCTTGAGCCTGACCTTGCTGCTTCCCCTCACCATTTGGAATTGCTATTTTAAACCAAGCCCTTACTTCCTTTCCACCACCTACACTCCACAGGGCTTTCAACACCAAGAAACATGCCACAGTAGTTGGCAGACCCCGCATCGCAGCCGTGACAGCCCAGGGGCGGGGGGAGGGTACAGTGCTCTGGACTAGAGTTGCCAGATGGTTTAACCAAAAATACCGAACACCTACCTTCCCCCCCAAAAAAAAACACCGGGGGAAAAATTATGTGGAGAAAAAAAAAAGGGAGGAGACCAAAGTTGTTGAGCCAAAAAAACCCAGTATGGCCCCTTTAAGAAATGCTTTTGAGGCTTTTTGGCCCTAACAGGTTCCCTGCTCTGGGCCAGACAGCTCTCCTGCGGAACCAGGTAAGCACCTGGGATTTTCGCCTCCTGGCCGGGAAAAAAAATCAGAAAATACTGGACATTTTAGGTGTCCGGTGTTTTCTGATTTTTTTTACTGGACAGGAGGCAAAACTACTGGACACCTGGCAACCCTACCCAAGACAGCGACCCCGGGACAGGCGCTAGGAGTGGGGCTCTCAGCTGGGCTTATGTGCCAGTAGCGGGCTCTTGAGGGATCCCCTGCCGCCCGGTTCTTGGGGAGCTGCAGCACGGTGCACAACTGCCCTGAGTCCAGCTGCTCCCACAGAGACTCACCCCCTCCCTAGCAGCTGCACTTACTGCGGTTGCCAGAGCACCCCAAGCTGCCTGGGGGAGCCGCCGCACCGACCTGTCTGATCCTTCTGTTCCACTCCCAGCGGGTGGATGGGTGGCCCTGGGCTCTGTGGGCAGGGCTGGGGTGGTAGCACAGGCAGCACTGCACAGGGGAGAGGCCAGAACAGTGGCTCCCCAGGCTGCTGCTTTCCCCACTTTAGTGGGCTACAGCACCCTGGAGTGCCAAATGCACACGTCATACCTGTGCCTCACTGCGCCCCACGATGGGGGGGCAGGCATCCCTACACCTCCCTGACCACTGGGGCTAGAGCTGGGCCTGGCACATACCGTGTCCAGGAGAGGGGGGTATTAGAGTTGGGGGGGGGGAGTAATAGCCTGGGCTGGTGGGGGGGAGAGAATGGAGACCCAGGCTGGTGGGAGAGAAGGGGGGAGAATGAGGGGCTGGGCAGGGTGGAAGAGAGGCCCAGGCTGGCGGGTGGGGAGGGAGAAGGGACCTGGGCTGTTGGGAGTGAGGCGTAGAAAAAAGGGAGAAAGGACCCGGGCTGGCATGGCCGCAGCCAAGCCCTCCCCAGTGGCCAGGGGGGAGAGCCAGGGTTGCCTACCCTACAAGACAAGGGAGCTGGTGAGCACAACAAGCAGGGGGCATGGTCCCCTAGTGTTTATTTAATGTAGCCTTTTTGTGTGTAGTACATAATAATGTCTTGCATTTCAATAGCCTCTTTTATGCAGAGTTCTGTGTTTTAGAAACCTTAATTAGGGAGAGCCGGGGTTGCCTACCCTACAAGAGAGGGGAGCTGGTGAGCGCAACAAGCAGGGGGCACGGTCCCCTAGTGTTTGTTTAATGTAGCCTTTTTGTGTGTAGTACATAATAATGTCTTGCATTTCAATAGCCTCTTTTATGCAGAGTTCTGTGTTTTAGAAACCTTAATTAAATCTCCCATGGGACAGTTTAGCATTATTACCCCTATTTTTCAGATGGGCAAATGAAAACACAAGTAGTGAAATTATTAGCCTAGGCCACACAATGGGTCCATGGAAGAAGGTAAACAGAACCTAGATAACTGTACAAAACTTCTCCTCTAGCTAAGCCTCTTAAGCACGGGCTCTGACTCCAGCAGATGTTTAGCATCCACTGGCAGCCAAGCTCCCCTTCCCCCCACACACACACTTCAGTGCCTAGTGGTGGCCCTCAGTGATCAACTCTCCCATTTCCCTCCCAGCACCTCCTGCAGGCGGGGAACAGCTGTTTTTCTGTTTATAGAAGGCACTGGAAGCGAGGGGG